TGTGCAAATGTAAAATTAGCTCTGGACAGACTTTCGGTGGGAGTACTTGCCGCTACAAACATCCAAGTGGGCTCACTTTTCTTATTGAACCGTTCCAGATACGAAATCGAACCAGCTTTGCACTTTTTTTTTTTCGTATTGTTAAGAATATTTTATAGGTTAGGTGCATTAACCTAACCTCAAACTTTTTTGGAAACTTACAATCGCCAGCTGCAAATTGTCGCCGCCCAGCTCGAGCTTAATTTTCCGTAGACTGCCCACCATGCCCACACACGGACCACACCATTCCGAATAGATATCCAGCACTAGAATATACAAAAAAAAAAAAATACATTTTCTTATACTCCGCTGGAACCGTCAGGCCTACCCAGCAGACCGGGTCGCAGCAGAAACTTTTCGAACTCCTCGTCGCTGCCGATGTCCGCCTGCAGCTGCTGAACTCCGCCCTTCTTTGCCATTTCGTGCAAAATGATTTGCACTATTCGCTGGCGCCTGCAGTTCGGCATATTGGCGCATAAATTATTGATTAAACAGTTGCTGGATCCGGCTAACTCGGCAGAGAGAAACAGCCAACACGGTTGCCAAGTTCAAGTTAACAAGCTTTCTTACACATTTCGTATGTTCAAAACGGCCTGAGCTGATGATCAAAAAAGGTTTGTGGACGGCAAAATCCCTAATCCTTCGCTTCAAAGTCGATTTTAGACAACCTTGAGCCCAGGTTTTGGTTTAAGCCTTGATTTTATATATATATTCTCAATATGTTCATGAAATATGCTCAAGAGTTCTTTTTCCTGAAGGAAACTGGTTTAGTTTGGCTTTTGGCTCAGTCATTTTTTTGGGACTAGTTTGGTTAAAGATTTGGTTTAAATTAAACAACAAATTGGTTCTATTCAAAACAGTTCAAAGCTCTTGTTTTACAGGGTATGTGATATTGTAATCGGAATTTGAAGCATATTTATATTTATATTTTCGTCAAATAGTTCCAAGTGCCTATTTATGCCTTAAAAACCGGCCAGCCACAAGCTTAACATGGCACATAAAATCAATAATAAAAAAAATATATAAGCCGGCTTTGGAGGGTTGGTTTCTCTGCCTAGGTTCGGGGTACTTTAAGGCGCCTTCTGTTGACCTAAATGGAAAGCCAAACCGTTTTGTTGTTTTGTTATTTTCTTAGAATTGTCTCAATGATTTACATGTATTTTCCTTGTTATATAAAGATCTTTAAATTCAATATCCAGTGCAAAAACACATAATACGTAGACATAATACAAACATACACACACAATATATATGTACATAGATACATAATGTACAAACATATACATATATATGCAAACATACACATATATATATAGCCATATATATATCTAAAATACCAGGTTTGTCGTTTTACAATCTTAAAATGAATAATGGAAATATAGATGCAGCGTTTTCTGCTTCAACTGTCGGCAGTTCGATTTATGAAAACAGAAACAAGTGCAACAAATTGATGGGGCGAATGCCAATAAAGGTTGTTTTGCTATTCGGACCAAGCGTAGTGGAAACCATCGGCGACATCAAGTCTCCTGGGAATGCTGCCATGTTAAATGTCCTTTCGCTTGACGCTTTATCTCTTGGTTTTGCCATTTGTAATAGTTGTTGGTCTCAGATGTGTTTGGTTGGTTAGTGTGAAGCACAGTGTTAGGGCATAAAATGTGCTTGACTAGACGCAATTGGACTGTGAATTTGGTGCCTGGTCTATTCCAGGCCCAGCATCCAGTTGATGCCTTGTACTATGAAAAATATAAGTGGCTGCCATGCGACCAACCAGCGAATCCAGTCCAGCAGCCTGCCATAAAGTACGTGTGGCTTCTCCCAGCTGCAAGACATTCAAAAATAGAAGTTTTACACAATTTCCAAAAAAATCCAACCAGACCAGCTACATACGGATTGCGAAACATTTTTTGTAGATCCACCTTCTCCTTGCAGTAGGGACACGTCTGCTTTTTGCCGACAATGCACCAGCCTCGTATGCAGAACTCGTGGAACACATGATTGCAGGACAGCTTGTAGGTGTTCTCGATGACACCCTCCTCCTTCTCGGAAACCAGCAATTGATTGCCGCACACCGCGCACACGTTCTGATCCAGATGCCGAGTGGGCATGCCTTGAGGCGTATAATACTGCAAATAGCATAATATGTCAGAGTGCACTAGTCGGGCATGCCCGTCTAGACGATGCCCAGAAGCGCCGGCATGGAGCTACTTTTACGAACATTCTACCTTTCTTCTAAGCACACATAACAAAAAACACATGAACTTATCAGGGAAAAAAATATGAATAGGCCCCTATTGCGTAGGGTCTTTAGACAAACGGACATGGCTAGATCAAGCCAGCTCTTGGACCTGGTCAAGAATATATACACCTTATGGGCTCGTCTCCCTGTTACATACATAAGCACACATTATGCTCGTTATGCTCGTTTTAGGATTAGCTTCAATGACATGGCCAGCTGGGACTACTTACACCAATGGCAGCTGCCATTTTATCTGAACATATCTCGGAAATGTCACGACCCAGTACACCAATATATAGGCCATAGAAACAGAACATGAGGCCGACATCCATCCAGGTGTTGGGCGGTTGCGCGAATATATAGTTCATGCCCAGAAAGGCGGCCATTATGACCAGATAGCCAATGATGCCCAATCCATAGCTCAGCTTGTAGATGAAGTAGAACCATTTATAGACGAGCCTAACGAAACAAGAATATGGGCCTAAAGGCAAAGATTGATTTGTTAACAGGAGCAATTCGCTCACCTGGGCGTTGTGCCCTGTATGGGTTTGGATGTGGCACGACGCATCACAAGTGCCGTGATGCACGTGAATATTAGCCAAATGATAATGAAGCGTATCCAGAGGAAGGTGCACGAGATGATAAGCGGTATTAGCCACATGGCGAGCAGTGTGACAAATGCATAGGATCTGTAGTGTCGTTTCTTCCACTCGACGAGTATGATTTGGGCAATGACCAGCGTCATACACAATATGATCACCATTTCCGAGTGCATGGCATCGTGGCCCTTGTGCTTCTCCACCATCAGCTGATGCTCAGCGCTGCCAAAAACAAGAAGAGGAAGAAGAAGAGATGAACTTTTGCACCTTAAACCTGCGCTGGCTAATCAGCTTACCGCATGCGCTCCTCCGGCGACATCTCGTCCAGGGACTGCAAAATGAATTTCGTTAGCATTTGCTGGCAAAGATTTGCGTATTCCCCCACCCCAGCGCACGCTACCCGACCCATACCTTACCTTGTTCAAGTCCACTGGGGCATGCAGGTCCATGTGCTGTTGATGCATATTGTCGCTGTGTGCCGGCGCGTACAAGCCAAGCCGTCGTCTGCGTCTTTGCGGAATTTTGTCAACAATTTGGTTTCTCTCAACTTACAATTTATCTAAGTAATATATGGGTCTAAATAGAAAACAAATAATAATGGCAATATTACATATTGTCCCCGTTTTGCCTATCAGTCGAGTGGCATTGCCACTTGCTACTGACCGCTCGGCGGCGTTGCCATTTGTCAAGGCAGCCGCCAGCAATTAAATGTTTGGTAGAGAATTATACTCAACGAATTCGTACGAACTTACTCATGCACACGCATTCTTCAATTCAAAATGCAAACGTGTCAATTGTTGTAAATGATGAAATTGCTAATAAAATTTGGATATGGAATTGAATAAGCTGTAACGTATGCAGCAGGCGTTGCCACGTACGCGCACACCGCTCAGCTGTCTGACAATCGATAGGCAACACTTCTGACGTTAAACAGCACTACTTGCCATTGTTTATAAACTATAAAACAATAGAGAACGTTACAGCTACAGTAAAGAGCATGCAATCCGAACACTGGGGCGCCATGGATGAGGAGAGCGTTGGGCTCGCGCCCGACAAGTATGTGCCGACGACAGCCAAGCGGCTAAAACTGGACGAGATACGGCAACGCGGCGATTTGGCGCTGCTGCCCGTGGACAAACAGTGAGTACAGTGATGCCTGCCTGGAAGCCCCTTTAACACATAGATATATATGTTGATATATGTTGAACAGCGATCAAATCGAGCTGAAGAGCTCGCTGGTCACGCAAACTATCGAGGTGATGAAACAAACCGAAGTGCTGCAATCCCTCATCGATACGTACTCGAACAAAAATGTAAGTAGCGTATCATGCATGCATTGGCCGGCCACTATTCATTGTATTTACTGTATGTAGGGCACTTCGAACTATCTGCTCAATCCCTGCCAAATGATACCCGAAGTCGACTTCCCGCCCGAAAATGCCGCCGATTTGGTGAGCGAACAAAAATTCCAGAAACCCATCTGGTTTATACCCACTGTGGACACGGCATACTCACGCGGTGACCCGCAACCGCATCCGGAGATCTCTAGCAATACCTGCCGCCATGCGCTACGCAAAGTCATGTGCGGCCTGCTGCGTCTGGCCGGCTTCACCGACTGCTCCGAGACAGCGGTCATGCTGCTAACCGATGCGGCCGAAGAATTCTTGCGCAGTTTCATCACCGAGTATCGCGGCTACTATGACATCGATGACAGGCTGGAGAAGTCGACAATGCTGCAGCTGCTGCCGCTGGAGCGGGCCTACTTCAGCATGACGGGCACATCGCTCACCCAGGTGCACAACTACTACAAGCACAAGGTGATAACGCGCAATCGCGTCGAGATAGCCGAGTTCAACAGCGTGCTGCAAGAGTACGACAAGCTGATGAAGGAGAGCCAGAGCAGCATGCAGAAGCAGCAGCAGCTCCAGCAGCATCACGACTTCAATGGCCACGACTTTCTCAACATACTCGAAATGCAGTCGGGCGACGATGGCGCCAGCAGCGCCAACGGCAGCAACAGCATGGGCAACATTGTTGGCGACATGCTTCAAGAGCTGGGCGGCAGCACAAACTCCAGCATCTCGCTGAGCAACGGCCAGCAGCAAATACTAACCGGCAATGCATTGTACGGCCTGCTCGATGGGCAAATGAGCAATACCAGCTCCACAATGGCCAGCACCAGCAACAGCAACAACAACAACCACAACAACCATAACAACAGCAACAACAACAACAACTATCAGAACAATTTTGATACTTAGCACGACAGACAGCACGTTAGCTGTAGCATTATTATCATACGAGACATCGATGAGCATATGTTTTCTTCACCTGAGTGATAATATGGCTACAGCTACGGCGAGCATCCCTTTTGTCCGCATAGTTTCATCCGCCAAGTGCCGAATACGAAATACCCTAGCAGGCACAGAGCAACATAAACTATAAACTACCAAGTTCGAATTTCGAGTGATTTGAAGAGACAAGTTTTCCATACCCAAACCAATTTCTTCAGCAATTCTTCCTCTAAAACTGTATGATATAGTAGTTCGATATATATATATATAGTTAGCATGGTAGAGCTCTTAAATGTTAAGATTGTTTCAAATATCTGGAATAACAAAAAGTTTTTATGAATCGCACAGATGTGAGCAGCGCACACTGAAGCGCGTAATCAATATGTTAGTTAGATTGTATTGAAAATGGAAAAATGTTTTTTACAATAGTTCATAAGGCAGCTAATTATGATATAGTATTCCGATCTGAACCTGAAACTAACTTGTATGAAAATCAATGCGACGAACGTGGTCTCGCCCGTTGAGGCTGATTTGTCCGCCCACGTTTCCAGCTGTCCGCTCAAAAGAGTGAAGCGATAACTCAGGAAAATCGATGTTAACAATTAGTTAAGCTTAAACACGTTTTAATTTCAAATTGTAAATGTATACTTTTGCATGAATTGTGAACAAGAACACGATGCTATTTTAAGTTAAAAAAGAAATCCCTAAATATGTAAGAGACTAGTTGCGTCGTCTATATAAGATGTCTATAAGAAGATAATCCCTATGCGTTGCACAATTCATAACAAAATAATTCTAATATCAGCTGCTGTTTATAGCAATAATAAGTCGCCTTATACATACATATACTATATGCAAATTACCCGGCGTCGCTCGGGTTCAATGGTTAATGTTAAAATATGCAAATGGTTTGCATATTTCAGGCAATTCTGTTTGTTTTATTTATTGGTATTGCTCTTCTCTTTGTGAATAAACCAAAATAAATAATTAAGCATAAAACTCGAACATTTCCGCTTTTGGATTTGAACCTGCGACCTGACCCGTCCGCAAAGTCGTCCACTTTTATGGACTGCGCTTTTTTTAGATGCTCCTAAATCAAACTTTGATCAAGGGATTGGCTCACTTGGTGGTGAACCCGACAGAAAGCTTTCATTCAGTCATGCGTTACAACTTTGTCCTTTTATTCTGAAATCTTTGGCTAATCTTTGTCTCGCTCCAGTTGTTTTTGCGGCGCTGCGCCGTAAACTCGTTTGTGGCCTCGATCGCCAGCAGCTTGTGGCCCAGCGCATCGCAAGCCTTGTACTCGAAGTGTTTATCCTTGCGGCATCTGCGTGGCGCCCAGTTGAGCACATCCTGGCCGTTAAGTATGGAATCGCCGCTGACGGCAACGGAGGCCAATGCGGCAGTTGTTGTCGGTTTATCCAGCTCCTCCTCCTCCAGTTGACGCCGCCTTATGGTGGGCTTACGTTGTGGCATCAGTTCCGGTTCGATGTCATCCACCACATAGCAATCGGCATTGGCAACAAGTTTGACCCGACTATACCAGGCTGTCTTCCCATCCAGTGGCCCACTTTTGGACGGAAGCTCCGTTGCACAATATTCAATTTGATTCTGTATAATTGTGCTTAGCTTTTGCCAAAGGTGCGTTTGCATCTCTGGGCTAACTTGCAGATCGCTGGCGGGCACAGCACCTTGCTCTGCCAGAAAACGCTCGCTTTTTGGCAAATCTTTCGCCGACGCGGCAGCCGGCGACGCTTTGATAGGACTTGTTTTAAACATGTCATTTGTCAGCAGCGTGTGATCGGCAGCCTCCAAAAACAAACGCATTTGTGCGTCATCTTCCTCGTCTGAGTCCGTATCAATTTCTTTTAATTTGCTATTCGTTGTTAAAGACATGATGTGCGGCTTTTGATGGCAACTTGTTTGTTTGTTTACATTTAAGTATGGCACGCCTATCGATAACTTGGCGCACGTGCCGACCGATAAAAATAAGCCAAAACCTGCGATTGTTCAGCACTGTTAACGATATTCGTGTTGCTTAACGGCAGATTGTCAGAGAAATAAAGCAAACTGTTATGGCACGCCTATCGATATCTTGGCACACGTGCCGACCGACTAAAATAAGCCAAAACCTGCGATTGCTCAACACAGCATTATTTGGCAGTTATATTCAAAAAAATCATCAAAATAGTTTCACATTGAAACCGAACCGAATTCAAATTTTCTTTGTCCAGGACCACACTTGCTGATGGCGCACATTTTCATTGCAAACAGATCTCAACATATAAAAGTTATCCTATTGAAAGTGTTAATAACGGAACATGCAAAATTAACGTATTTGTAAATGTTCAACGGACATGTTGTGTTGCAAATGAACTATCGTTAACGATAGTCGCTAACACGTTTTACCATGTTAGTCAACACTGGTTAACGACATGTTCATGCCTTATCTTAACGGTTTAATTTGACAGTTTAATTGAAAAGAAATAAAGTTAATTAAATTAAAATATAGCCATTAACTACTATTTAGTTTGCAGGTGAACTATCGATAGCGATAGCCACTAAACTCAACGGTTTATTTGGGCAGGTCAATTGAAAAGAAATAGTAAGTGATTAATTAAAGGTTGATTATGCCACCGAGCTGCAGAGGCCACAATTGCTGACGGGGCACATTTTCATTTCGATATCTTCGCCGACGCGAACAACGGCCGCCATGCCGTTCTCGGAGTGCGGCGATATGTGACAGTGGAACATCCAATAGCCGGGACTGTCCGAGTTGAAGTGTATGATGGTATAGCCAAAGGCTGGCACCTGCACGGAGTCCTTGAGCGGAGCGCCGCGACCGCGACGCGGCAGCGGAGTCCGTCGATCGATCTCCTCGATCTGGCCGATGCGCTGCTCGCCGAGCACGCCCATGCCGACCACACGGAACGTGTAGCCGTGCAGATGGATGGGATGCGCCGTGTTCGATTTGCTGGATATGACAAATTCGACATTCTTATTGGCCGGCACATGGATGACATTGGAGCACTTGCAGTGCCGGCTCTTGCAGTTGAAACCCAGCGCCGCCTGCTGCGTGCTGTTGCAGAAGAACCGGCCGATGCCCAGATTACGTGTCTGGAGCAGCGACATCTTCGGCATGCTGAACGTGATGTCGTCCATCTGGAAGCGAAAGCCCTCGCCGCGCAGCTCGAACGCGTTCATGCTGCTGTAGTAGGTGACCGCCGGATTCAGTGCCGGCTGCACGTGCTGCGCATTCAGGCTGACCAGGGAGATGCTGTCGGCGCTGTTGCCGCCGGCATCGTCGCCCAGCTCGTTGAGCATCAGGCCCGGCGCATCGTACGCATAGCTGAGCGTTGTTGTGTCCAGGTTGCGCGTATCGGCGTTCTGATAGTGCAGCACCGCCTCCTGATGCAGCTGATTCTTGGCACAGAAGCTATAGCCCTTGATGCGCAGCCAATAATTGGCCACCTCCTGATTGGCATGGAGCACAAAATCGAAACGCTCGGCGCCATGGAACATGATCTTCTGCACCTCGACTGGCTCGATGTCGTTGCCATCGCTCGCTATGACCACCAGATCGTGTTTGTCAATGCTCAGGCTGATCGGACAGTTCGAAACGCCTGCAAGCATTAGTATTAGTAAGTGCGTGTGTGTGTGTATTAGTGTGGTTAACAGCCGAGGCTGCGGCTGAGCCCAAGCGAGCGCGTCTGTGTGTCGCGTCTGTGTGAGCTAAATATAACTGTAAGCTGCGTTCGTTTGAAATGCGAGCTCTGTATGGCAAGTACAGTGTTCGAGGGACTCACCATTGAAGATGACACGAAAGCGATAGCGACCGCCTCGAATGACCCCGAACGTGGCATAGAGCGTGGGCTTCACCTTGCTGTCCTTCTTCATGTTGCGACCGCGTCCATTGATCAGTATATTCTCGGCGACGCTCTCATCGAAATTGTGCACCCAATCCTGAATCATAATGACATGCTCCGACTGATCAAAGTCGTACAGATGTGCATGGGGATTCAGCTTGAGCGGCTGACGGACAATCAATGCTCCGGCCAGGCCGAAGGCGCGCTGATGCTCGGTGTGGCTGTGCCACCAGTTGGTGCCGCCGTGATCCACCTCGAAGCGATAGCGAAACGCCTGGCCAGCCTCAATCGGATACTGGGTAATATGCGGCACGCCGTCCATGTGCGGCGTCGAGCGCTGATGTATGCCGTGCCAGTGAATGGTCGTCGTCTCGTGCAGGCTGTTGATCACGTCCGCGACAATGGTGTCGCCGTAGCAGACCTCGATCGCCTGGCCGGGCAGCTGGCCGTTCACCACCATGATCTGGGACTCGAGGCCGTCGGCGTATTTGCAGTCATCGTTGCGCGCCTCCTGCTCGGCCAGCTTGAAGCTATCGATGTACTCCTTGCCATTCAGCTTGTAGCGATACTTGGCCTGCAGATAGCGTTTGCAGCTGGCCGACATTGTGTCATCGTAGTGGACCACCATGTAGTAGTAGCAGGTCATCGGCTGCTGCTCGACGCAGTCGCGACGGCACGGATGCTCCAGATCCTTGTCCGCGTAGCGCCAATGCGTCGACTCCGCGGACGTTAGCTGTGGATATAGCTGCTTGATGCGCTCGTAGTTGCTTACAATCCGTTTGCCGTCGGCGTCTGCAAAAAACAGCAAGTTATCGATAACTATCGAATATCGACTATCGGTTATCGGGAATATATCCTGCTGCTTCACCTTGTATGCCATCGATTTGCACAACAATCAGGCTGCTAATCAAAACAAACGTCTTGACCAGGCTGATTTGCATTATAACAAAAAAAAAAAATTAAGAGAGAGAATGATAGAAAAACGAAAATTTTGGTATATTCGCTGCGGCAAAGGCCAACACATAACTGTTGATCAATTTCCGCCGTCGGTTACCTTTTGTAAGCGGTTAGCAAAATGACAATTCGAGAAATTGCTTGGAATTCGCTTGTCGCGCGGCCTTGTCGCACAGAGAGCTCGTAAATGGTTAATTGAAGATTGTACGCGATGTCGCCGCTGAAATCAGAAACAGATACACTAAATAGACAAAATTCTAATTTCCAATGGCAATGGCAATGACTAAACGCAGCCAACGTCAAAGTGGGGGAACAACCATCGAACGCCTTCGCTTCCCTGGCCCCGTTGCATGTGCAAAACATTTGGCCTTGGGGAAGTCCCATCATCAAATTGAATTTGAATTCAAATTCGTTGGAAAGTGTTGCACAGCGGTCAGTGGCCAGTGTTGCACAGCGGTCAGTGTGGCCAGTGCTGCAAGCATGCGTGTTTCTTATTTAATTTGTGTTTAGACGAATTAGGAAAAAGCTATTACAATTGTAGCAAATGCGCCCAATTACCGCCGCCTTGCTGTGCAGTGTTGCACAGCGTTCAGTGCAGCAGCCAGTGCTGTAAACATGTTACGCTTACCCACTGGCTGTAAACAAATTAAGAAAGTAGAAGTCTTGCTGTTTCAATTGTAGATAATGCCCAGGTAAAGCTGGGCCCCCCCAGCATTGTTTATCTGCATCTGCTGATAGGCAAGCGTTTCGGTAAAAACAACGTTATTTGTGTGCGAGAGATTGCATATACAGACATACATGCATATATGCTCGTGTTTTACGGGACGCTAATCAAAATGCCTGACGCGCTCGCGTACACGGTTTTAGAGATGAGCGCGGGCCGTGACACGACGAGCTGTCATCGAAAGATTGCTTCAAATTCGAACGAGAGAAAGAATATATATTAACAAATAAAATATATAGCTAACTATAGTAATATCTATTGCTTTGGAGCAAAATCAAAGTGTTGCTCAATCTAAATCGATTGCTTTGGTTCGTGCTTGCTTGAAACTAACTTTTCGTGCTCGTGCTACAGTCGTGAACAGGCACGCGGCCATCTCTGTATTTGTGTTGTATACAAACAAGCCAAGCCTTAGAACATTGTACTGAATTATAATTTCGTTTTCATTTATTTTTATCGGAACGCGCCCGCCTTTGTTTATGGCTGCTTGCACTTGGGGCCAAGATTGTCGATTATGCAAAACAAAGTAAAATGGGCAGCACATAGCAAGAAGAGAAATAGCAAACGAAAAGAAAAAAATAAAAAAAAACAAGTTTCGTCAAAGTTTTGCGTGCAATTTGTTGGACGACGCGCGCGTCATGAACTTCATTAGGCAATTCGCATTGCAGTCGAGCAGACGCAGACGCAGTGCAGCTCCTACTACTCGGCACGGTAAGCGTTTCTTTGCGGGGGGGTGGCAACGCCGGCAACGACAACAGTTATTTGTCATGGCATTTCACAACATTGGACAAGCTAACAAACATATGTACATTTACCATGCCAGACGATAGCAAACAAATGGCCAGCTTGGACTCGAGCGTACACTCGGCGGGCATCGAGGAGGTGCACAATGTTCCGATGAGCGTCATTAGGCGACCGATACCCTCCGTCCTGGACGAGCTGAAGGTGCAGTCCCTCATGGACACCATCAAGGTGCGTACATTTCTCTCTCTCTCTCTCTCTCTATCTCTCCCTCTCCTGATTTGGTTGCAGTCGGAGCGCAGCGAGGCTGAAGTGCCGCCAGTTGATATCTTGTGGATAACCGGCAGCGAGGGCGGCGACTATTACTTCAGCTTTGGCGGCTGTCATCGGTTCGAGGCGTACAAGCGTCTCAATCGGGAAACCATAAAAGCGAAACTGGTCCGTTCCACTTTGGGCGATCTTTACCATTACATGGGCTCCAGTGCGCCCAAATATTTGGCATAGTCCAAATTGTTAAATTGTTGTTGTTAAACATGTTTGCCTTAAATCTGTTTGTGCATGTTTTATAATTATATGTCCATACTTTTTATAAACAATACGCTTTTTACTGAACGCTGCGCTTAAGATCTCGATAACGATCTGTTGGGCCTTAGCTAACACTTAAAGCGGCTTTCATTAACTACAAAAATGGTAAGCTGGCTTATCAAGCAATAGCTGTGGCCAAATCAAAAGTATATTATACAAATAATATTTGCAAAACAGCTGCAAATCTTGAAAGAGTGCAATGATCTTCGATAACATTATCGTTATCTCACAGAGCGCCCAATTAGAGATGGACCTTGCACCAGTTAATTGCGCATTAACCAACACCAAACGCTGTCCAAGTAACGATTCCAATTGGAAAGTCAGTTGAAGACGTCCAACAGGAACCAAGAACAACTTAGCTTAACTTTCGCTTTAAGATCTTACGGCTATTATCGTAATATGAATAAAACAAAATGTTAAATATATGACATAAATCGAAAATGACAAGAGCTAGCTATAATACAATTGGGATGTCATGTAGTTGATACATTTCAAATAGAATTGGAAAAACTATTATATATATATTATTGGGCCAATTGGTATCTATTTATATTTAATCTAAAAGCCACACTCTCGAAGTGGCATTAATTTTTGTAGTTGATACGTGTATTTGAATTATGGTACAAGACGTGATAGCTGACATGTCATCGAGCGTGTCACCAAGGCTCAGGACATGATTTCGCTGCTAGCTTACAAAAAAAAAGAAGGAAACTTACTACAATTGGTTAAATGCATAAATACACAATTTGAATTGGCTACACAAAAAATGCGTTATCAAAAAAATAATTAAATTAATAGCTAAGGGGATCTGTAGGATTGGCTACCAGAGAAAGGGCGAGCGCTCGCGCAGAATGCGCAGGCCGTAGCGCTGCCATTCGCGCTGCGTGATCCAGAGTTCCCGGGCGGACTCCAGCACCGACATGATGGCGGCGCCCTTCCAGGCAACCATGCCCACATCCATGCCCTTGCTGAAGACGTTCACCTCGAGGCCGGCGGGCACCTGCTGGCTGATGCGCTGCTCCAGCCAGGCGGCCAAGCCGCGCAGCTTGGCGCTGCTGCCGACGAGAAGGATGGCGCCAAACATTTTGCGACGCGTCTCATAGCTGCCGCAGCGCCCGATTGCACGGATGACGGCCTGGTCGAGCGAGACCACCTGACCGCCCGGATTGTAGTACCACGAATTGCTCGACTTGGGCAGCGGCTGTTCCTGTTTTTGTTGCTGCTGCTGCTGGGAGTTGCTGTTGCTGCTGACCGTCGTCTCATCCTGGTCGACCACAATCAGCTCCTCGTCGTCGGCCGTGATGGGCAGCTGTGCCGTCGGCTTTGCTGTGGGCGTATTGCCCACCATGCTTAGATCGCCCGTCCGGACGCCGTTGCGCCGGCCCGTCTCGCGCAGATACTCGGCATCGAAGCAATCCTCGCAATCGTATTGCTCCTGCGCCGATTGCTGTGTGTGCACGGCGCGTGTTTTGCCCGTTATATTGAGCAGCTCGGTGTGAAAGAGTGCCAGCGGCGCCATGATGGCCTCGTCGCCCACCTGCAGCGTATAGCGCACCCATTGGCCATGCGGCTGGCGCAGCGTAAAGTGCTTCTCCTGGGCGCCGCACACGTTCGCGTTCAGATGGCAGAAGCGCTCCTTCAGCTCGTCCAGCAGCTGGGCGTCCACATAGCTGCGCTCGACGCAACATTCGCGATACGGGAAGCTGCATTTGCGCAATAGCATGAGCAGCACCTGGTCGATGTCGCCGCCGCCGTAGCTAAGCCGGACACGGGCGTCCAGCTGCGAGATGCCATCCTCGATGCAGGCAATGGAGGTCTTCTGGGCGCCAATGTCGACCACACAGCCATAGCCAATGCCGGCGCCATAGGTGGCCGCCACGCTGTCCTGCACCAGAAAGCAGCGCTGGAAGCCCAGCCGCTGCAGCAGCAGGGTCATGGCCTCGCGCAAATGTCGCCGCACATAGACATCGTTGACCACCAGCACGGCGCTGTGGGTGCCCAGGTCGCGCAGCGCTATGCCCAGACGCTGCTCCAGAGCATACGACCAGATGCGCTCCAAATGTGACAGCGTCGCCTGCAAGGAACCGCCGCGCTCGCCATGCACATGCAGCTCGCCGCGCCTGATCGGAAAGTGTATGTCATAGTTGTGTGCATCCTGGGCGCTCAGGCGTAATATCTGCTCGTCGTACAGCATCGACGCCTCGCTGTGCCAGTTGTTGTGCTGCTCGGCGGGCACAGGCGGCGGCACTTGCTCCGCCACGCTGCTGCGATTGAAGTGCGCCAGCTGCTGCGGCGGCGTGGCGACACGCAAACGATTCTGTTCATCGACCACGCAATGCTGCAGCAGCCGTGACACGGCTAGACGCTGCTCCTCGAACTCCGACTGCAGGCGCCCGGCGTGCACGCTCTCCAGCGGCGGCAGCAGCGGATCGTGATGCGGCGCATCGCCGCTCAGCTGGGCGGAGCGCCTGTAGGCGACCGCGTGCAGCATGGTCAACGGATTGAGGTCGGCGGCACGGCCAATGCGCAAATGCTGCGAGCCCGGATGGATTATGATTATCTTGGGCGCCTCCAGCGGCTGGCTGGCCGGTTGCTGGTGCGGCGCACGGCCGCTGCTTGTGCTGCTCGCCCGCGAACGCCTGTTGCAATTGGACTTGTTTAGCTTGGCTTTCTCGCCCATCTCGCTGACGGCTACTCACTGCATTATTTAATGAAAAGCTGCTCAAGCGGCAGCCGCGACAGCCGGTGCAAATATTTTAAGGCTTGCATCGTAGTCGCTATTATCGAATCGAATAGCAACTGTGCGCGCTAATGCTGCGTTTCCACTGCAAGCGTTTGCCTATCGCATCGCTCGATAACATGCGGTATTTGCCATAACTAACAACTACTTCGATTAAACCAAATATATAAACCAATTTATATATTTATTTTACTTATTACACTCTCTATCGTTATTATTTTCGTTATAAAAGTTGGTAAGAGAGAGAAACACAATTATGTGCATCGACTAACAGACGCATACTGAACAAGAAGCTGCTACGAAAAGCAGTGAGAACGGTTCGTTGTATCACAGCAAGCAGCTTCAGTTCGTGTCTGCCATTAACATATCGATAGTTCGTCACATTCTATCGCCGTATCGATAACACAGTCTCAAGGAACGTGCTGCGTCTTTTGTTTTTTAATCATCAACTCATTGTGAAATTCCAAAATCAGATAAGTTAGCAGACACATAAAAAAAAAGAAAGACAAACAACAGAAAATGTCGCATTTCACGTGCATGAACTGCGATGCGCGCTTCGCCAATGCGGACGCACAGGGCCAACACTACAAAACCGACTGGCACCGTTACAATCTAAAGAGGCGCGTGGCGCAGCTGCCGCCCGTAACGGCCGAGGAGTTCCAGCAGCGCGTGCTGAGCGCACGCCGCGCCGAGGAGGCGGCCATCGAGGAGCAGCAGATGAGCGTCTACTGTACGGCCTGCCGCAAGCAGTTCGGCAACCAGAAGGCACACAACAATCATCTGAACAGCAAGAAGCACAAGGAATCCCTTGCACGGCTCGAGCAGCAGCAGCAAACGGATGCGGGCACGTCGGGTGCGCTCTCCGTTTGCGTCAAGAGCATTGTCGAGCCGCGTCCACATCCCGCGTTGGCGGCAGCTGCCGCGGGCAAGGGACGTCTGGCGTTTGCGGATCGGGCCATGCAAGTGGATGCGGCTGAGGAGGACGACGAGGACTTTGAGGACATCGAAGAGGAGGAGGTGAGTGTGTCTGTGCTGCTGTTAAACATTAGCTGAATGCCATGAAACTCCGCTCTACTATTTTCAGGTCGACTCGGATGAATGGGAAAAACTGGCCGAAAATCCATTGACCGAACGGGATTGCCTGTTCTGCAGCCATCAGAGCGCGGATCTGGTGGAGAACCTCAAGCACATGTCCGTCAAACATTCGTTCTTCATACCCGACACCGATTACTGCACAGATATTGAGGGCCTGCTCTACTACCTGGGCGAAAAGGTGGCCAACTATTTCATTTGTCTGTGGTGCAACGATCGTGGCAAGACCTTCTATTCCCTGGATGCTGTACGCAAGCACATGGTCGATAAGGGACACTGTCAGATGCTGCACGAAGGCGTCGCCCTGGCCGAGTATGCCGAATACTACGATTACAGTGCCAGTTATCCGGATCATGTACGTATCCAAATTAAACGATATCGTCGAGTTATCTGTGACGTCACATTCGCTTGGTCCAATTTGAGCCAAAGCTCGAGAGCGAGTTGCCACCTAGTATTAACATCCCTCTCTCTCTCTTTCTCTCTTCCTTTGCTCACAGAAAGAGGGCATGGACATTGACGAAGAGGTTGTGCCCGATCTGCTTGACGGCGACGAGTACCAGCTGGTGTTGCCATCCGGCGCAGTTATCGGCCATCGCTCGCTGCTGCGCTACTATAAGCAACGGTTGCAGCCGACGCGCGCAGTTGCTCTCAAGAAATCGGACAGGAAGCTGCATCGCGTGCTGAGCGAATATCGGGCGCTCGGCTGGACGCAGACGCAACAGCAGGCGGCGGCGCGCAAGGCGCGCGACATACATCTCATGAAGCGCGTGCAGTCCAAGTGGCAGATGCAGCTGGGCACCAAGGCTAACAAGCTGCAGAAGCACTATCGCGCCCAGGTGCTTATTTAGGCCGGATCATAGATCAGAAGGAAATGAAATATACAATTTGTGGCAATTGTTTGTTTTTTTTTTTTGTTGCTTTTAAATTAAGCAAAATTGGATTTCATTTGAAAAATTACTGCGCAATTGCTCTTTGAATAAAATTACATAATTTAAATTAAAAATTAAATAAAATTTACTTTTGATTCTGTATAAGTAAAATTATTTCGTTATGGTTACATTAAAGTTATGCAATTAAAACTAGGTAAAAAAAAAAAAACTGTTCTAATCCATAAGAACACTCTTGCTAACTGTAAACGCGATGAGCGATGCGTGTGCTTGTGTGTGTGTGTGTGTGTGTGTGTGTGTGAGCGAGACGGCTGCATGGTGAGAGCGTGATTTAAATAAACCGATGCGGTGTGTGTGTGTGTGTGTAAATTTCAGCTAGCTATGAATGTTTGTGTGTATGTGTGTGTGTGTGTGTGTGTGGGTGGATGGATGTGCAATAAATAGCAGTGTCTGCTGGCGAGCTAAGAGAACGGAAGAGCAGCACACAAAAAGAGAGGAGCGCAACGGCGGCTCAGACGTGTTTGTGTGCGTGCGTGCGTTTGTGTGTTTTTTTTTTTAAAAAAAAAGCAAATAAAATAAAAATTGTTAAATTATAGTTTATATAGACGGCAGGTAACGCTAATGTATAACTACAGGATTCTGTTGAACACATACGCCCACCATGGGCGACGACGAGGAGGCATCGCTGCTGGCGCCCGCTGCTGAGCTGCCGCTGCCGTTGCCGCTGCCGGATGTTGCTGCCGATGCTGGCAGCGCAGCCAACGATGATGACGTCGATGCAGACGCTGGCAGCGGCATGGGCAGTGGCAATGGCAGCGGCGCCAACGGTTGCGGATGATAAAGCAACGCCGTATAGGAAGCCGGTCCCGAGCCAGCCGGACCGCCGGCAGCCGATGCACTGATAACGCTCGAATCGGTCATCATCAGATGCGACGCAGCTGCGGACATATTGCCATAGTGATGCATCAGGTCCAGCGGCAGCGAAGCTGGCGCAAAGCTGTGATGCGGCTGGGGCTGCGTTTGCATTTGCATTTGATGTGCGGCGGGTGGTAGCGGCGGCAGCAGCATTGACGGTGGCGGCGGCTGCGGCTGCGCTGCACCGTTATGCTTAATGCTGCTGAAATTCTGATGCGGACCAACGCCAACGCCAGCGCCGACGCCGCTGTTGCGCATGCGTCCAAAATGCGGCTGGCCAAGACGCAGCGCTGCCGCTGCCATAGCCACAGCCGATACTGGCGGCAGCGGCGGCGGCAGCATCTGTTGCGCCAGCGGCGGATCACAGTCCATGGCGTGCGGATAGCTGTTGCCCATGTAAATGTTGCGGCGACCGCTGTTGCAGCCGATGCCGACGCCGACGCCGCTGCTGTGATTTAAGCTATTCAGACTGTTAATGTTGTTGTTGTTGCTAATGTTAATGTTGTTGTTGTTGTTGCTGTTGTTGGTCGCTGCTGTTGACGCTGGCTGCGGCTGCAGACTGAGCGCCGAAAAGTTCATCGCATTGGCCGCAACTGTCGTGTTGTTGTTGTTGTTGCTGTGATTGTTGTTTGTGTGATGCAATAGCAGACCTGCAAAAGGCAAATGTTAAAGAGTTCAATCAAAATTGCAGCTGTAAATGATAAGAGCGAGCGCCAGTGCAGGGTTGCCACACTGCAAAAGTTTGCTTCTGTTTATGTTGATGTTTGTTTGTTTTCTTTCTTTTTTTTTTTTGTTGATTATATCATAAATTTTTATTGAAGGGTTTTTTACGCTTTTTTTTTGTTGTTTTGCTTTTAGTTTTCTTTCTTTTTTTTTTGCATTTTAAATAGTTTTTCTTGTTTTTTTTTTTTTGTAACTTATTAATTAGTAATCTTTCATAAATTATTTCGTACTCATTAAACTTAAACCATCAGCTTTTATGTTATATATTTATATAAATGCCACATATGCGTGAGAGTGTGTGTGTCTGTGTGTGTGTGTGTGTCTGAGTGTGTGTGTTCTCTTATGTATTCTTTGTTTATTTCTTGCTTTTTGTTACATTTTTTTAAACAACTAAATGCATTTCATTGCCAACCAGTTTCTATTCGTTCTTCTACTTTTGCATTATTCTTTCTCTCTCTTTTGAATTTCCTTTTGCAATACTGTTTTCGTTAAGTGTATATGTTTTCTTTCGTTCAGAACAAAAATGCATGCATGCATGCGCGCGTGTCTGTGTCTGTGTGTGTGTGTGTGTACGTACGCTGGGACGCCATTTTTAGTGGGCCGCTCGCTGTTAGTTAACATGGGCTTAACATGAAATGCTGCTGCATATCTTGAGGCGTTCTCACTTAACACTTTTGCGTTGCGTTTTATTTATTTTGAGTTTTCTTTTTTCGTTTTTTGTTTTTTTGTATTTTTTTTTTTCGTTTTAGGGTATTGTTAAATTTTGTTGCGTGATTTCTAAATATGCATTTAATTTTTTTGGTATTCCACATTTGGCCTAAATCTAAATGCTTGCAATTCATGTTCAAGTTTTGCGTTTATTTAATATTTCGTTTTTCTTCTGCGCTTTATGCAATATTCTCAACTAAACTGTGTGTGTGTGTGTGTTTGTGTGTGTGGATGCGTATTCTTTTCTTGTTATTTAACTTAAATTTAAAACACTCTTGTTTTCGGCTTTTGCTTTAAGTATTTTACACAACTTTTGAAAGTTTCTCATTTTTATTTATGAATTATTCGTTAAATTCTTGCATTTTTTTTGTTTTTACTCGGGAGCTAACACTAGATTGTTGAATTATACATACACACACACATATATATATAACTCACATTGCTTCTCTCCAACTCTCTTCCTCTCTCTTTCTCTCCCTCTCTCTTTCTCTCCCTCTCTCTTTCTCTTTCTCTTGCTCGGCCTGCCGTCTGTCTGAGTGTAATAAAAATGAATTGATTTCTTTCTTTTTTATTTTCGTTTTCGCATAATTATTCTCGTATATGTATGCACACATGTATATGCATGTATGTGTGTACATATGCATGTGTATGTGTATGTGTGTGTGTGTGTGTGTGTGTGTGTGTGTATTTGTTAAATGCTAGAGTTTTCATTTTAGTACTGTTTTTTTTTTTTTATATTGTTATGCAATGCGATTTCCTTTTGAATTATTATATTTTATTATTAATAATAATTAATAATATTATCATTTATTAATATGCCTAAACGCTAAACTTGTAACGTTAATTAATTTGCATGCCCATTTTTTCTTTTTTTTAATATTAAATTAGTTTTCTTCTTCT